GTGAATGCCCAGCTAGCACTGTAAATACAAACCAGCTGTTCTACAGCAATTTCCCATTCGAGACGGTGGAACATTTTCATCCCCTCACTTAACGTTTCTTCCCACATCTGGCAGTCCATTTCACTGCAGTGGTTTTGTTCTATTTGGAGCTAGGTTTGAAATGGAAACTGGAATTAAGTCCAGCAGCACGTGCTGGACCAGAGTTTCACTTATATCTGTGCCATGTGTGGAAGTATAACATTGTATAAGGAGACATGCTGGATACATTGGATATGAGAGGGCATGCCAAAACATGTTACAAAGTATCTGAGGGAGCACATGTAGGGACAGTTAGCTTTCGAATGGAGAAGCAATTACGATAGAGCCAGCACGTCTAAGAAGCAGGCATCAGAATGGAAGGTGTGAAGGGCAATTAGTTAAGTTAACTGGAAGCTGTTAAAGGAGATTGTTAAGGGTGGCAGGTAATTGAAGATACGTGACTGGTCTCAGGGATCTCGAAGGGTGGTAACTAAAATATTTTTCTTCTTTTGTCTGTAACTTCTCTGTAACTTGTTCTCCAAAAAACTGTATAAATTAAAAGACACAAGCCCCACATATTAGCAGAGCAGCTTTGCTAATAAAACAGAGTGGTCTGATAAATTGTGAGTCTGAGTCAAACTTTGACACATGCTTTTCATTTCACTGGGGCTTTGTGGGAGGAACTGAGAGCAGAAGTAGACCCATCACGTTTACTCTAATGCATGGGGAAGAAACAGGCATTTCTGAGATGCCTCCCTTCCCCTTCTGCAGGTGAGTTGGACCCCAGTGGTAAAGACTGGGGATAGACACTTCAGACATGGGGGTAAACTGCCAGAGCAGGGAGCCAGGGATGGGTGCTCTGCAGCGGGAACATGTCTGGGGTGAGTCACAGCTCAGATGTGCAGACTTCATTGCTCGAGATACTGACAGGGGGCAAAAGCAGGGCAGTTAGTGCCTCTGCTCTTCCAAACTCAGTCACCCCTGCTACCCTGGTCTCTTTATTTTCACCTGGGTCACAGAATCATAGAATCGTAGGACTGGAAGATAGCTCGAGAGAGTCCCCTGCACTCACGGCAAGACTAATTATTATTAGACAAGGGGTTCTCAATCTTTTCCCCTCAACTTGCTATAAAAATACCAGGGCCCGGCAGGGGCCGGGGAGCACGGGGCGACAGGCTGTGGGCCGTGCGGGGACCCTTGGGCATAGGCATACTTGTACGTATATTTTGGGAGGGCAAGGGCTGGCGGGGCTTTAGCCAAGCTCAGCACAGCAGGGTCCAGGGAGGGAGCACCACCTCCACCCCCCTGACGCACTCAGGAGGCCACCCAGCCTGCCTGGGCTGTGTGGGGACACAATCAAAAAATATAACTCAAAGAGGGTACTCAGTTAAAAAAGTCTGAAAACCTCTCAGGGTGCAGGGATGGGGGTAGCTAGAGGCTGCGTGAGGGGAGTAGGTCAGAGTGCAGGGGGGAGTAGCTAGGGGCTGTGTATTGTGGGGAGAGGGTTTCCAGTGCGGCTCCTAGCTTCAGTGGCGGGGAGCAATGGGGCTCCAGGCTCCAGCCCTCCACTGCCCCTGGCTTGGGGGTTGGGGGATGTTTGCTGCGTTCAGCACCACATTGCTCCCAGCTTGGGGGGGGGACACTGGCTTAAGCCCTGTGCTGCTCCTAGCTGGGGGGGGTGGGCGAGCTTCAGCCATTGGGCTCCGCAGAAGGGAGGATTTTGGGGGGGAAATACGTATCCAAAGTACGTTTCCCAGTAAACCCAGTTACAGTTTGGTGGTGGCAGTGGATATTCCAAGGACAAAGGATAAAATTAATTTCTACCTTGGGGAAGTTTTAACCTAAGCTGGTAAAAGTAAGCTTAGGAGGTTTTCATGCAGGTCCCCACATCTGTACCCTAGAGTTCAGAATGGAGGAGGAACCTTGACAAGTCCCCTCCTAGACTTCTCTGCTCCAGACTAAACAAACCCAGTTTTTTCAATCTTCCCTCATAGGTCATGTTTTCTAGACCTGAATCAGTTTTCTTGCTCTTCTCTGGACTTTCTCAAATTTCTGCATCTCATCTTTCCAGAAATGTAGCGCCCAGAACCAGACACAGTACTTCAGTTGAGGCCTAATCAGCAAGAAGTAGAGTGGAAGAATTACTCCTTGTCTCTTACTTATGTAACCCTTCTGTGAGGTGGAGCCAACAGCTACAAGGGTCGGGTTCAGTATCTAGGGGTTTCTTTTCAACAAAACCCGCTTAAGCCCCCACCCAGTGACCTGGGACAATTACACCCCACCTCTGGGCGCCTCTAAGAGGCAATACTTCCCCTCTGCAAGCACAGAGTATGAGTGTAGCAAAAACATTTAATAAAAGGAGGGAATTAACTCAAAATTAATTTGGGAAAACACCACAGTTAGGGTCCATAAACACAAACCATGAGCTAAAGACCCACCTCCAAATAAGTTGGACAGTGTCCTTTTCTCCACAGGATCTTAAGTCCAGCAACCCAAAAGTCCCTTTAACGTGCCTGTCCCTTCTCTGTACCCGACTCACAGTTGCTGTCCTTGACTAGTGCATTCCGAGTTCAGAGGTTCATCTGCAGAGTTCACCTGCCATCCTGTGTGGAAGGCGGAGGTGGGGAAACGAGGGTGGAGGGAGGAGGCTGCACAGCTCAGGCATTCGCTCATTGTCCCAATGCATTTGCAGGGCTCTGCTCTGGCCATCTCCACGAGCTTCTCTCCTGGCCGCTTGCCACGTCTCTCCGCCAGATGGCCATGCCTCTCCACCCGCCGCCTTGCTGGCTGCACCTCTCCGCCAGCTGTCCGCTCGCCAAGATGTCTTAATATAAGAACATAAGAATGGCCCTATTGGGTCAGACCAAAGGTCTATCTAGCCCCAGTATCCTGTCCACTCACAGTGGCCAGTGCCAGGTGCCCCAGAGGTAATGAACAGACCAGGTAATCATCAAGTGATCCATCCCTGTCGCTCATTCCCAGGTTCTGGCTAACAGAGTTTAGAGACACCATTCCTGCCCATCCTGGCTAATCACCATTGATGGACCTATCCTCCATGAATTTATCTAGTTCTTTTTGAACCCTGTTATGGTCTTGGGCGTCACAACATCCTCTGGCAAGGAGTTCCACAGGTTGACTATGTGTTGTGTGAAGAAATACATCCTTTTATTTTTTTTTAAACCAGCTGCCTGTTAATTTAATTTGGTGACCCCCTAGTTCTTGTGTTATGAGACGTAGTAAACAACACTTCCTTATCTACTTTCTCTACACCAGTCATGATTTTATAGACCTCAATCATATCTCCTCTTAGCTGTCTCTTTTCCAAGCTGAAGAGTCCCAGTTTTATTAATCTCTCCTCATACGGAAGCTGTTCCATACCCCTAATCATTTTTGTTGCCCTTTTCTGAACCTTTTCCAATTCCAGTATATCTTTTTTGAGATGGGATGACCACATCTGCACACAGTATTCAAGATGTGGGAATACCATGGATTTATATAGAGGCAACACGATATTTTCTGTCTTATTATCTATCCCTTTCTTAATTATTCCCAGCATTCTCTTCACTTTTTTGACTGCCGCTGCACATTGAGTGGGTGTTTTCAGAGAAGTATCCACAATGACTACAAGATCTTTCTTGAGCGGTAACAGCTAATTTAGACCCCATCATTTTATATGTATAGTTGGGATTATGCTTTCCAATGTGCTTTGAATTTATCAACATTTAATTTCATTTGCCATTTTGTTGTCCAGTCACCCAGTTTTGAGAGACCCTTTTGTAGCTCTTCACAGTCTGCCTGGGTCTTAACTATCTTGAGTAATTTTGTGTCATCTGCAGATTTTGCCACCTCACTGTTTACACCTTTTTGCAGATCATTTAGGAATATGTTGACTAGGACTGGTCCCAGAACAGACCCCTGGGGGACACCACTATTTACCGCTTTCCATTCTGAAAACTGACCATTTATAGCTACCCTTTGTTTCCTATCTTTTAACCAGTTACCAATCCATGAAAGTACCTTCCCACTTATCCCGTGGCAGCTTACTTTGCGTAAGAGCCTTTGGTGAAGGACCTTGACAAAGACGTTTTGAAAATCTAAATACACTATATCCACTGGATCCCCTTGGTCCACATGTTTGTTGACCCCTTCAAAGAATTCTAGGAGATTGGTGAGGCATGATTTCCCTTTACAAAAACCATGTGGACTCTTCCTCAAAAATTATGTTCATCTATGTCTGACAATATTGTTCTTTATTATAGTTTCAACCAGTTTGCCCAGTACTGAAGTCAGGATTACAGGTCTGTAATTGACGGGATAACCTCTGGAGCCCTTTTAAAAAATTGGTGTCACATTAGCTGACCCTCGAGTCATCCGCTACAGAAGCTGATTTAAATGACAGGTTACAGACAACAGTTAGTAGTTCTGAAATTTCACATTTGAGTTCCTTCAGAACTCTTGGGTGAATGCCATCTGGCCCTGGTGACTTATTGCTGTTTAATTTATCAATGTGTTCCAAAACCTTCTCTAATGATGCCTCAATCTGGGACAGTTGCTCAGGTTTGTCACCTAAAAAGAATGGCTCAGGTTTGGGAATCTCCCTCACATCCTTTTTGCAACAGTGTTTGCCAGGGTTCCCTCCCCACCCTGAACTCTGGGGTACAGATATTGGGACCTGCATGAAAGACCCCCTTAAGCTTATATTCCACCAGTTTAGGTTAAGAACTTCCCCAAGGCAGAAATTCCTTTTCTTGTCTTTGGACGGTATTGCTGCCACTACCAAGTGATTTAAACAAACATTCAGGAAGGGGCCACTTGGAGGCCTATCTCCCGCAAAATATACCCCCAAGCCCCTTCACCCCCTTTCCTGGGGAGGCTTGAGGATAATATACCAACCAATAGGTTAACAAAGCGAGCACAGACCAAATCCATAATTTTTAGGACACTGAAAATCAATCAAGTTCTTAAAAGAAGAATTTTATTAAAAAAAAAAAAAGTAAAAGAATCACAGCTGCAAAATCAGGATGGAAAATAACTTTACAGGGTAAATAAAAAGATTTAAAACCGAGAGGATTCCCCTCCGATTCTTCTTCCCAGTTACAAAACAGGAATAAAATGACCTCCTAGCACAGGGAAAATTCACAAGCTAAAACAAAAGACAATCTATCGCAGTTCCTTGTTATTACACTTTTTGTAATTTTAGATGTATCATTCAGGATCTTGTTAGAGGCAGGTTTACCTGCTTGTTCTCTCTCTTTGTCCCGAAACAGACAGAGGGCACAGATTTAAAATCCTCAGCACCAGTGATATCTCCTTATTATTTTAATGCACAAGGACATTGCCCTTAAATAAACAGAATATGGCCTGATCAGCAGATTACTGCATATCTTTAGGCTTATTAGTTGAGGATATATTAAACACATGAACATTAATTTCCACAGAAAGACAAGATGCAGAACCTGAAGAAGAACCTCTTGAAAGCTTATATCTCACACCAAGAGAAGTTGATCCAATAAAAGATATTCCCTCACCCTCCTTGTCTTTTTAATATCCTGGGACCAACAGAGGTACAATAGTGCAAACATCTCTGTGGGAGATATTGTGGGGAACACTCAACCATACAGCTTTTTTCTACTTGCTAACATGAAGCGTATATTATAACGTAGGATTTTTGGGTTAAATTCTATTATATTTACTTTTTAAAAAAAGTGTTAGGGGGGGTTTCTGGTTGTATTGCTATAGGAAAGCCACCATGCATATGTGGAACTGCACCTTTTCCACGAATATTATATACGTATTAGTTATCCGAGCCTTACTTCCAATTCGGTGTCCATTTGAGTAGTTTGAGATGTTGCTGGCTGGTTAAGAAAGTTTTGTACTTCTTCAAATATGCCTCTTATACTTGTGTCATTCGGAACATTTTTCAGGTGATCCTTAAACTTAGATACCAGGACATTCTGCACTATTTCCTGCACATACTTTTCCTCTTTTGACATACAGATTTGAGCTTGTTCCTCTCGTATCCGTTGGCTCTCTGTCTGCTTACGTTTTTCTTTTTCTTTACAGCAGAACCAGAATGGGTAAAGTGTGTATAGGCCGTAGACAACGATGATAAGAAAAAGGGCAAATAGTCCAAAAACCTGGCGGGGGAAGCAAAGCTAGTTATTTTCATGGGAATTTTTCTTTATGCATCTTTTGCATCTCACCAAAACGGCTATGGCCTCTCCCATAAATTTAGCTGCACAGATTTATTTAAAAAAACAAACAAAAAAAGCCCTTCAACCAGATTTCTTAGTGGGGAATAGTGAAATCTTTCAGTATTACTAAGACTGATGAACTAAACGCAAACGTTCTGGAGTTCGGATTTGGCAAAGTCACTAAAATTCCGTCTTTATCTTTATTTATTATTCTACCAAGCCTTGTGTCATCTGCAAACTTTATCCGCAAAGATTTTATATTTTCCACCAGCTTATTAATAAAGATATTAAATAACACTGGACATTTTGGCTGAAGATCCTCATTTATAATTTCTTTTTGAACTCTAGCAGTCAGTTTTAATCCATTTAAGATGCGGTATACTGTATTTTTAATGTGCTATCTTTTAACAGAATATGATGTGACACTAATTTAAGGCCCTAATGAAATTTAAATATATGATGTCAACATAGAGAGTTTTGTCAATCAAATTTATGATCTCATCAAAAAAAATTGATCTGAAAAGAGCTATTGGCCACAAAAACATTTTGATTGGCATTAGTTATCCTTTAACCTGCAATCAAAGACGGGGACGTTTTTTACCTTTTACGTGAAGAAATAAAAAAGATACAGATATCCATTGTTGTTGCCAAGTACTAACATTTAAAAGGAGACCCAGACTTCGAACCAATGTACGCTTTATTAAGTTATAGCTGTTTCATTTCTACCAGCTCCCATTTTTTCCTTTTATAAAAAGTTATTTATAGAAGTTATTTAGCATCAGGGTGCAAAATATCAATGGAAGTATTCCAGTAGTTCTAGCCCATTTTCAGTGGGAAAGCTTTAGTTTTATGAAGGATGTTTATTAAATTATATGGATATGGCTATTTTTAAAAAAGTAATACATACAGCACAATTACAAATAGTCAAATAACATTAAAAAATACAACATAAATAAATCGTTCTTCAACATAAAACCATTTCTCTATCTTTTTTCCAGGGTTTTTCAAAAATGCCTGAAATCGTTCTGTCCCCTACTTCATTTGGGCTCTTACCTGCGATAGTATATAAGCTTCGCTGGGTGGCTGTGCTGGCATTCTTTGTGCTGTGGGTTCTGTGCTGCTTCCCTTCAATGCCCTATTTATGCACTCGGCGTATCGGCCATCAATGAGGAGAATCACACACCATAAAAGAGCAGCTCCAAAAGCCTTTCCTACTATTTCACACTTGCGGTCCCATCTGTGTTTCTCTGAGCAGCGAAGCCAATCAATGAAATCCTGCTGAAGTATCAAGCTCAGGAGAAGGAAAATAAGGGCTGGAAAAAAGAAAAATGCCAAGCTGTAGTAAATTCTCGCTTTATTTCGTTGAGGACATTTAAATTCACCATCAATTACTTCTTCAACCACTACCAAAATTAAAGACCAAAATGACACGGATAAAATGGGAAGAGTACTTTTCCAAGTCCCAAAGTATTTCTTTCTAACTGCCATTTGATCCTGGGACCAGTTCTTTGCGAAGTCAGGGCGTCTACGTTCTACAAATTACTAAGCACAAAGAGTAAACATGAAAGTGAAACTGTTACCGTACAAAACACGCCCTATAACTAGTTGCTCCATTGAAATACATTGTTGCAGCTAAGGCTGGTTGGTTACAAACTGCATAGCGTAGATTTCAATAGCTGTAGGGTTGCGGCTGGACTGCCAGACCAGCAATGTGATTCTAGCTCTTCACTACTAATAATTTTTCTCGTAACTCTAAGTCTTGTGTGACATCTCCTCGCGTCTTTTCTTCAGCTAAAGGATAAAATTCCTTTAAAAAAACTGAAATATTAGGTTTCTGAAAATTCTATGGAAGCAACCTTGCTGCTTTCATTTCCAAGCTTTACGTTGTCGGTCTCAGAATTGAGTTACTCCAAGAATTCAGTACAGACTTAGATTCTAAGGCCAGAAGGGACCATTACTATAATCTGTTATGACCCAAGCCACCTCTACCCTGTGACTCCCGAAGGGGAAGGAATCATTCTCCCCTAGCATGTGAGTAGCATTGTCAATTCTGTAACTGGTGGTTGAGCTAGTGATTGGCAGCCCTGAGAGTTGTTGTCAGACGCCACTGGTATGGTGCTCTGCTCTGTTCAATGTTGATAACAGTTGGCTGCGTGCGTGTGTTCCCCCCGTGTGCTGCCCCGGCTCTGCGCAGATCGCTGAGAGAGTCCCACAAAGACATCCGGCCAGGTTTATTGCCAAACGAAACACAGTCACCGGATCAGATGTCTACAGTTCTCCTAGTACTTATGTGCTCCCTGACAATGGACACAGCTCAGTCAGTGGCAGGACACTCTACTGCCCCCTAGGCTGGACAAAGACACGGCCCCAAGAATGTAGTCTTATACACGGGTACAAACAAGTTACACATCACGTGACGTATTGGGATGCAACCTCTCCAGGCAGTAAGGTGCCGCCTCTCACCTTGTACATATTGGTTCGAACAAAACAAGTCTATCCAGCATATTGTCCTTCTGACCCTGTCTTTAGGATGGGTCTGCTTGGTCCTTGTTATCTCTGTGGACTGTGTTCGTACCGGGATGTTCTGGTGTCATCCTGGCACAGTTCTTCTTACTAGAGCGTATATATGTACACGTGCTTTCAGCAGCCTCTTCTTTCCAACTTCTGTGAGCAGGGCCTGCCTCTGGCTCATAGCACACCTTTGCTTTATGTTACCAATTATATGACTATTATTTTAGTTCAGGACTCAGGCCTCATGACGGGCCTCTGATATAAGGGTGTGGGTTTCAGGGATTTATCTTACTATAACTCTAACTGGGGCTGGACTGTCAGCTGCACAGCAGGGATCCGGGACGCCCTGGGAACCCCGACTGGAGATGGGAAGCTGGCAGTTCCTTGAGACACAGAATATCAATTTCACTCAGCAACCCAAAGGCAGAATGTTAAGACATGTTACAAAGCGGCCTGGATTCAAAGTAAAGGTGTCAAAGAATTCTGTGGAAATGAAACCTTACGTTGTTATCTAAAAACTCGCAACATGAAGAACCCATGGTTCTTCATAGGCTTTAGGGTATATGAACAATGACAACTGTAAAGACCTGCTTTTGCCCCAGTCTGAAGGCAGATGTTCTACAGGATGTAGAGAGAAAAGATGGTGCTAATTCCACAGACATGGACTAGCTACAATTGTGGGAGGCAATTTAGAGTTGATCTAACTGAGTCAGTGCCAATCCGTAAACGTAAAATTTTTGTGTAACTGTATGCGTTTCTGTGCATGAAACCTTTGAGCACTCTCTGAGAGACCTGTCATAGATGCCGCATGCACAATGCAGCCATAACTGTGTGAGTTGGACTTTCGAGGATGTTTACCATAAAATTTCACTGATCTAATATGGTCAGGATACAGGCTTCACCTCTATAGCTATCTTGTTTTGTTTGGCAATTGTCGTCTTGATGTGCTTTTAGTCTGGCTGTTATCATAGGAAGGAAGTGCTCAGGGCCCCAAACTTTGACAAACCTTTCCTAGTCACCACAGATGCATCCGAGCGCGGTTGTGGGAGCAGTTTTAATGAAGGAAGGACCGGATAAAGAATTCCATCGTAACCTTTTTTAGTTAGGCTCTTATCATAGGACGGGAGTAGGGTGAACATTTGTGTTTTAATTTAGACACGTTTAACTGAGTCCAATTCATACTAATTTTTATTTTTACTAGTAGTGGATTTAACAAGCCTTTTACTGGATTACTTGAAGTCACAAACTTTTTCGGTTTATTTTAATTTGCGGTACCTTTTTTGAATGCATAGTTCCTGCGCCAGGTGCTGGTGCATGTGTCCGGTAACCACAGCTTCAATTTACTGCTGGGTATTGAACAGTAGTCCACAATAATTGTTAGTATTGTTTTGGTTTTAACAAGCTCATTCCATTACTATAGTAAATGTGGGTAGCTGTAACTTTAGGTGGTAGTTTTATTGGGACTTTTTATTTTAACCCCTATTTACCAGTCCTTTGATACTTTTGTGGTGTTTATAAAGTAAACCTTAAGTTCCCCTTTTTCTTTCTACGCATACACAGTGGTATTTTTAAGGGTTTCAAGATTTGGCTAGTGTTTTTATTATACTATTTTATGAGGATTACCGGATCACTGGTAGGAATGCCAGATTGGTTGGCGCGGAGTGAATTATTCCTTAAATACTGGCTTATAAAGAGGGCTGAAATTTTTTAAATCATCGCTCTAATTATCTGGGTACTAAAAGCAGGTACAGCCAGCTCTTATACTGGAGTCTCATTTTCTGTGGATTAAAATTGTGGTGGTTAAGCAGCGCCTAGTGTTCTGGTTCCGGGAAGTCCTTTTTACAAAGAATTCAAACTTGATTATTTATTTAAACAATTTAATTTGTGAAACATGGACGCATTTCAGTTTTCCATCTTTTTCAACGCGGTATACCCCGGGCTAATGCGGGTCACTATTGAATGAGGGCCTATCCGCTTTCATTACCGCGAGCGACCCCTTTTTCCTATTTCCCCTTTGTGGGCCTTTGTATCTGAATTTTGTTGTTATCTGTTCGATGGCCTCTACTGGAGGGTATTTTTTAATCTTCTTGTAAGTGTTTGAGCCAGTGAAATAGTCATGCTGGGTTATATTAGAGATCTCGTTTTGACCCTGTACCAGGTAACTAGGCTCAATCACTGGGCGCATTGGATGTCCAAACCGAATTCGAAAGTGTTGGATTTTTGTTCTTACTCTGGACGGCAGCCAGAATCAGAGGCAGTTTATCCGGCCAGTCTTTTCCTGTGTGATTTACTACCTTCCGGAGCGCTTCCTGAAGAGTGAGGTTCATGCACTCGACTTGGCCTGAGGACTGGGGCTGGTATGGTATGTGGAGTTTTTGTTTAATTCCCGAGGTTTGTATCATAGTTGTAAAATTCTCGCCTATAAATGTCCCCCATTGTCAGACTCTATTATTTCGGTGATGCCTTATCTACATACTACCTGATTAAAGAACTAGTGCTGTTACTTTTAATGATAAATGCCTCCACCCATCCTGAAAAGGAATCAATTATCACCAATAAATACTAGAATCCTTTCTTACTCTTTCGTAATGTATTAATATAATCAATTTGTACCCTGTGTCACTGCTCAAGCCCTCGTTGGTGCATCATGGGTTGCCATTGGGGAGAACGGGCCTTGTCCCAAGCGCCCTGCATACAATTTCACACCCAGATTTCAACATCATTCGCCATACACGCCCATTGTGCTACTTCCTTTAGCCTTCTTAAAATCCTTTCCTCTCCTTTATGCATAAACTGATGGGTTACATTAAGTAACTTCTGCGTTTCATTTTTTTCTGGAATTCAGTTACGGAGGTCCGTAATGCAATCTGTTGGCTCAGCTGTATCAGTACAGACGCTCCTTTTCTTATTTCTAGTTACAACTGCTATGTCATGCTGTTGGGATAGTGTAGCTACCTATTTCAGAGTAGCAGCCGTGTTAGTCTGTTTCAGCAAAAAGAAAAGGAGGACTTGTAGCACCTTAGAGACTAACCAATTTATTTGAGCATAAGCTTTCGTGAGCTACAGCTCACGTCATCGGATGCATGTAGTGGCATCTATCTACCTGATGTACTACCTGATTATTCCAGGTGGCCGCCATATCCGTTCCTTTACTGTGTGCCTTTTTACATGCCGCACCTTTACCTGTTTAGGGTTCATTGTTACCCGCTGATAAATCCATTTCCGCTCCTTTGAATATGCAATATTCTTTTCATTTGCTGCTTTTCACCCATTTCTATATCATTCATGTATCCAAAATTGTATCCCATTTACACAAAAATCACTATCAGCATAAATATACAGGGGCCAGGGACCCATATTGTCTTAAAAACCTAATAAATTACAAGGGGTTCAGAATATTGGGCGGATCTAGAAGTCCCTGAATGATTTCGTCTTTTAAATTATTGGCAGCGTATTTTACAGAGCTTTTCCCTTTTACTACCATTGCACTCCCGTCAGTAAACCAGACGCGCTTTTTTTGACTTACGGTATTTAATTCTTCCAGTGGGGGTGCCTCTATCAAGGCAATTCTTTGCTCCAGCGTGACCTCTGGACATTTATGTCGTTTTCCTTTTTTAATGAGGGCTTGTGTTACCACGTCCAGCTTGGACACCGTTTCTGTTGACTAAGATAAGCATCCATTGAGCCATTCGGGTGTCTGAGACTTTACCTCCCATCAATCTCCGTGACAAAAATGTATTTCAGGGAAGTGTGGGTGCTTTGGATAGTAATAGGGGCTGTTCTTGTGAGTGGTGTACTCCCA